ATGAACATATTTCTTTCCATTCATTCTTATAAATGTTTTTTGTAAGGTGTAGTATTTAGTATAAGAATCCTCGATTAAGCAACAGTCTTTTGGAGTTATATAATATGTTTGCTTTAACCAGCAGCCATGGCTTGCTTATAAGATGAATGTATGTCTAGGAATGATAATTTTCCCTAAAAGTAAGCTCCTTCGTATTTCTTTATTTCTGGACATTAGCTATAATTTGACCTAGTAAAAAAATCAAATTTTCTGCAGTCAGATTAGGATTACAACTCCAGCTTGATATATTATTTTAATGTATATTTTTAAAAGTATAGACTAGGATATTATTCACTATGATTCAGAACTTTAAATAATTTGGGTAATGATTATACAAATCACAATTTTTAGTAACATTATATTTAGTTTTAGTAATATTCTAGAACACATATTTCAGAAGTTTTTTTGAATATGTCCCTTTTTTACATGTAGATTATTGGTTCTTATGTATTTAGACTACACATTGCTCATCACCTTCGTGCAATATATACTTAGCATGTTTTAGCACATCATCACTTTAAGCACTTGATTGCACTTTGAACATGTCGTCACTTTACACTTTTATGATCACTGTTTATTTAGGTACTTGTATATTGTACATAATACGAGGTATTATTGAGTAAATTAACCTCAGCACTTGGTACATTATTGCACATTGCACTTTTGTATATACTGGCGATCAGCCAGGTTATTGTAATGCACTATGATCATATTATTAATGAACTAATTTTCTTCCTTCTTTTGCACTATGTAGATAGAAATTCAGTGTATAGATCACTCTAATAGCAACAACTTAATCACATGGTTACTGTCCGTTTTGTATTGTGTCTCCATAGCGACGTGTGTATGTATTCACGTCGCTATGGTAACGGACAGTCACGCCGGCGTAGTATGACGTCACTACGCGGGGCGGAGCACGTTTGCACATGCGCACACTGGCCGCTGGGACGCCGGGCAGACGGTCACATTCACTGGGGGTAAGCTTGCACACCTTAATTCACTTATTTTAATTAATCATGTCTTATATAAAATGTGTTTTATATGTGATTATTGTTTTTATGATCCTGATGAAAGTCCTCTTGGTAGGACTGAAACGTTGATCGCAGTTTTTATGAATTGACAATAAACTTTGGACTTTTACTTGAAAAACCGTGAGTGCAACCATTCATCTATATTTTTTGTATACTTTGGCTGTATATGGTTGGCACCCGGTCATGAAGGGAGATTCAGCGTGAGTGCAGGAATTATTTTTTGTTTTTTACATACATATACATATATATATACATATACATATATATATATATATATATATATACACACACACACACACAATTTTTACTTTTTATTAACACTATTTTTTTTATTTTACACATGCAGGGAGACTGCCTGTCAGCAAGGCAGTCCCCCTGCAGGCAGACACATGGACACCTATTGTGACCATGTGATCGCTGTGTTGAGCGATCACATGGCCCCAGTGGTCCTAATCCAGTGTGGGGAGACTGTCTGGGCTGCAGGCAGTCTCCCCACACCGGGAGCAACGCTGATCGCCACCGGGGGACGAAGGCGATCAGGTAAGTAACTAGGACCATTAGAACGGTTCAGGACCGTCAGCGGTCAGCAATGGGAAAATGCAGATGACTGTCCTGAATCGTCCTCGGTCCTTAAGGGGTTAAGGATTGTAGATGTAGTTAAGCAATTTACTTTATTCTGACTTTATTTACACATCAATCACGTGATTTGTTCAATAACATTTTGGGGGGGTGGGCGGCGGGAACAAAACAAAAAACCTGTAAGTTGGGCTTACATTTCACTATTCAGTTTAACACTTCAACCTATTGTTCAGTAAATAAACTAGTGAATGCTTATTGGTTTTAATAAACGCATGTCTACTCCATTGATGCAAAAATGAATTGCTATTATAGGCTACATATTTTAATTTGCTATGAAACATTGTAATAAATAAATGGGGAGAAGGCACATTAAGTATTTTTTTCTTTATCGTCATTCTGGCTTACTCTTTTTCTGAGACCATCCCAACGAATGATCTTGGGCCAATCAAATGCATCTAATAGAGAAACACTTGAGTTTTATTGCACATGCACAGCAAACGCCAGTCAGGGTGATGCACTGAATCCAATGAACCTCTATGAGTTCCATGAATTATTTCAATTCTTGAAATGATTCACTTTCTTAGAGAGACTGCAAAGACAGATGAAAACCACTACGTAAAGACGTTTTATGTATTAGGGGGTCTCTTTAAAATTGAAATGACAGTCCGTACACATCTATACCTACCTCACCTTTCCGGTTACTTGGAATCTTTCCACATATCACTCTTTATTATAAGGTTTTATCCCCATCTTGGTTTACAATAACTAGTAACATACAAACATTTTATTTCTCTACTGTTCACCATGTGTTTTATTGCAATTCTGTTTTCTATAGGTCAATAAATATGTATCAAAAATACTAAACTATGTTTAGTATTGTCTTTGCAACATTCCTTTCCTTTGTTGTAGTAGTTCACACTATGTATGGCAAATGCATCAAGCTTCAGCTTACCCTGCACTCTGAGCCCCAGACTGTCCATACACACAGCCACTGCTCATTTCACTCTGTTGGAAAAAATTCCAAATGATTGATCTACAATTCTATTAGACTTCAATGGGGACATTGGTTATTAAAAACGCTTGTAAACCTTTCTAACTGTATTGAATCCTTTGGAAAGCTTATTAAAATCGAGGCCATAGTTGTAAAAAACTGACATGAATAAAGAATTTGCTAGTTCAAAGTTGGGGTGGGAATTATAGCAAAAAAAAGTGAATGCAACACACACTGTGCACCACAATCTTCAATCAAGCCAGGTTGTATTGGCCCTTATAATAACCCTTTAAATATTACCATAACTCGTACTTTAACATATAGCCATGGGCAATGCAGTGAATTGGGGGGGGGGGGTCATCTTACCATATACACACAGACCATCGTATTGAAACAATTAGTTGCTTAATTTGTCTAACTTATATGTTTTGATTGCGCAGGAATTTCAGACATTCCAACCCAATTTACAGGTAAGTTTTTCTCTTCTATCTTTAGGAAAAAAATAAAACCTGTTTTCTCTCTCTCCATTCTCCGATTGACTCTCCACCCTGCTGGCATTGCTTTACCTTAGGCTGGAGACAAGCAAGAGAACCAGAAGAGGGTTTCCCCGAGACGACATGCGGAGCACAGCCTTATATCTGTGCACATTGGCACAGGATGAACTGACACGAGGGGAAAAGTGCAGTTTTGAATCTCTGATTTTAAAGAAATCTAGACTTTTGCTAGCAGTGTACAGATACAATTTAGTTCTCTTTCATTTCAGATTATGTTGTATTTACCCTTTAAGTAACACAAAACACCACTAACTACATGGCAGTTGTATGCAAGAAGTCTTTGATGCAACTACCATGCTTGTTAGTTACTTGAAGTCAAGTTTCTTCTGTCACTGCTCTGAAGGGTAAATGAGGTAAGCAGCAGATTCAGGGTTTCACCTTAATCACATGGTTTCATAAGACATACAACAGTACCATGCATGACAGTGAAGGGAGTCTTGAAGGTGTGTTGCTGGAGCATGTAAAAGACAGCAGGTTCACTCAGACTATAGGGGAAGAGACCTTTTAATTTCCCTTGGTAACAATCTCAGTGCCAGGTCATTTGTCACCACTGCAACAAAAGGTTTGTTAACCATGACTTATAATTGCAGGAAAAAAAATTAAATTAAAAAGTTCTTCATTCTTACTCTTGAAGTTTTATATGTTACTAAGTTCTGTTATTATTTCTCTGGCTCTGTAGGCAAACTTGCTAAGCCGTAGCACCACCAAAAGTACCCCCCCACATGCTTACCCCTATTAATGCCACAAATGCTACGCTTGAACCAATCTCTGATTAAGCGCATGGCTCACACATAGCGCAACAAATTCTCATGATGCATCCCAACATATAGCGCCCTAAACGCAGAGGATGTAATGTTTATTTTTCTTTTATAGGTATTTTTATCTTTTTTTCAAGTTGACAGTTAATTCTTACACATAAACCCCATGTCGCATATGTCAACCTGATGTTAGGTGGCTATGCACTAATGGTTGCTGTTATAATCTATAACCTGCTTAAACTCTGTTCCAACTGCTTATGGCACTGTAATGAAATCTAAACTATGTACATATGCGATGTGAAAAAAAAAAAAAAAGGTTAGTCCAGCAGACTTGTCAATCAAGCAATTGGAACTAACAATTTAGGGCCAGCCCAATATCAATCCTGAGGTCTCCACTACTTGGACTAAAGGCAACTATGCCAGTCACTGAATACAGCTAAATTTACTGAACCATGTTATGGCTGCTACCAGTTTACAGAGGAGTTCCACCTATCTTATATAATAAGTGAAATTCCTCATGGAGGGATATTTGTATCTTGTATATTGCTACTTATATGTTTATAGCAGAAGGAGAAACCCATAGAACAGAATGAAATGGTGGGGCCTATTCCTGATGAGAGAGCTTGATAGGCACATGTCAGCAGCATTCAAAAACTCTGCAATTTTTATGCATGAAAATTGAGAAATTGGTAACCTTTAAGAAAATATACTGCATGTGTTTTCATCACAAAAATAAATATGGAAATTAATCCATATCATTGCACTAAGCAGAGTCTGAACTCCGTACATATAAACTGAAATTTGTCAAAGAATTAAAAAAAAAAAAAAAGTAAAAAAGTGGGGGGAATGCACAGCATTAGAGGGGAATGGATCACACAAATGCTCGTAATCAAACTGTGTATACCATATTTAACAGTCTGCTAAAATAATTCATATGGAACAGTATAAACAAAGCATCTAGACAATTTCATAATAAATAATCTTATAATTAATCAAGTTCAAGAGTATGTAAAATAAATAAAAATAAAAAAAATAGAAAACTCCTGCTCCCCCCCACAATACCACAAAATGTAAAAAAATAATAAAAAAAGGTCTGACCAGAAAAACTGAAAACCCACATCTTTGCCGACATAATAAAATTTATTTCCATTTCATGCATTACGGCAGCTACAAGAGCAATCAATTGAAACTGAAGGACAATAAATTTCTCTGGCCTTACAATGTAGCCTCATAGGTGAAATGAATGTGAAATCACAGTTACAAAGAAACAAAATTGGGTTAAACAATCTTTACGGTTTCAACTTTTGAAAACTGCAGTTGTGTAGAGGTTGCCAAAACAACCAGATTTTAATGTAATAAAAAAATAAAAATTGTTACAAGGCAACACATATGATCAAATTCAGGCATTGCCTGACATGAGCATATATGCCTTCTAACATACTTTTCATTAAGGTCATTTTGTTGTATCAGTGGATGTTTCATTTCATAATCGCTACACTTTTGCTCTTGGTATCCTGAGGATAAGAGGGAGAGAAGGCTTACAAAGTTGGCTGATGTAGTTTCTAATAACTCAGAGACATTGCTTTCAGTTCTAGAGAAGCACAACTCTTGATATGCAGTTTACAGACGGCAGGACTATCTAAGATCATATATCCAAAATTTCAATATGTGCAAACTCGTATGAGCTTAATAAATGATAGTCCTCTGCTCATCTCAAACAAGTTTTAAAGCAGCAAGGATAAGAAGTCAAGTCTTTATATTACACAACACAAAGACTTAACTGGAATCAAGAACTGGAATCTTTTCCAGTCAATATTAAAATGGAGCCTGTTTTAAAAGCTAGTAATGACTTCCATTTAAAATCAGAAATCTGACATTTTCTAGCAAGCTTGTAATTTCATCCCTTGAAATGCTGAAGAAACCTGCAACGGAGTATTGCAGAGATGAGGAGTAACAGACCCCTCATCATTTCTAATACACAGATAGTGTTTGAATATAGAAAATACAAGTATTTTACTCCACCTGCCTTTTGATGAACTTACACTCAAACTTCAAAATATATTTTTCTTTTCAAAACAATCTTGTGATTAACAATAGCAGAGTCAAGTTTGCTTAAATGCAGTTAATTTGTAAGACCGCCAACATGCGAATTGCCCAGGAGACTGCTCACCAGGCCTGGCACGCAAAGTTAACACTTCATAAGGGCAACTGGAAATATTACAAACCTATCTGTATATGGCATATTTGTTGGGAAAGGGTAATGGGTATATAATTTAGGGGTCCAAGCCAAAATATTGGTTACTTGGAAAATTAAAAATTTAACGCAGCAGGTGTTACATTCAGGTTAAAAAAAAAATTAAAATAAATAAAAATAGCATTGAAAAGCAATTCAAATACCGAATAAGGGTTTTAAATGGAATATTTTATTAACATGGTGGTAGTTCTTTGTAACATGTGCTCACACATTCGCACACTTTTAATGTTCTGCCTTTCAAAGTTGTCTTTTTTGGAGGTGAGGAAAGGGAAAATGTTTCATTTAAAAAGAGGAGGGGGAAAAAAAATTATAAAAATTTTAATTGGGTATGTAGGCAACTGTCCACATGACTTAAAAGCTATAGCCAAATCTCTCCAAAGAAATGGAATTTAGACGGGATTTGAGAAAAAAAAAAAAAAAAAAGATCCAGGGGGTGTACAACAGTGGCATAGCAGAGCTCTCAATATGAGAAAGCTGACAATGTGGACATAGTATTTCTGCTGTGAAATTGATCTCTGGGAATTGTTTGTCAATGGGCAGAAAATAAGAAGGCGATGTGAAGTAGGCTTCTGTATAGTCAATTTTCCTCACGTTTGTGCAGGATCAAGAGGAAAAATAAAATAAAATAAAAATTTAAACAAAGAAGAAAAAAAAAGAAAAAGAAAAAAGAAAACATAACAACTTAGTCCTTTTCTGGAACCAGTTTCAAGACCTTTCCAATTGCAATGGTTTTACCTAAATGGAGAATTAGAGAAATGTGGTGAGAATACAACTGTAGCAGTGGAAGAATAGCATCATATTATAAAGTGAACTACACATTCAATTTAAACTGGTGTCATTTTAAAACATCAGTATCCTACCTTCGTCTCTCAAGGTAAATCGACCCATCTGAGGGAAATCTTTGAAGGTTTCAAGGCAGATAGTTCCCGCTGTCCTCAAGCGGGCAATGCATACTTGATCTTGTTTTACAAATCGGGGCCGTGTCTTACTCTTTTCCCCTGATTTTTTGTCTACCATGCAGATTAAGGCCTAGAGAGATGGAAAAAAAAAAAAAGGAAGTAACTTTAGATACAGGATACAGACATGTTACTCTGATTAAACTGCAGTGTCCTATCTTAAGAGCCATTGTGCCAAGCGTCCCTTTACCTTTAAACAAACAAAAACCAAGAGGAGTTAACACATTATTTAGAAGCTTGGCTTTACAAATATTCAAGAAGCATGGAGTCACAATATGCAGTGTGTTGCAAATAAACAAATACCAGCTTTGATAACTTTGCTCCTACATGGATGCTCGCTGAGCAAATACTATTAAAATCATAGACTTATGCTTATCAACTAATGTTCACCTGTAGTCCTGCAACGGTCACTTGTTGCAGGACTACACATGCATGAGCTGCCGGTCAGTGACATCTGTTCACAAATTAGTGATCAGCAGCTGGAGTGCATTCCCCCACCCAAGAAAATATTTGTTTTAACAGATAAAAACAACCGAATAGCCAGCTATGCTAAACGAGTTGATATGTGGAAACACATACTGTTATCTCGACTTCTTCAATACAGGTATGAATATGTAGCACTGCGTTGTAACCAGGACAGATGATAGATTTGTGCTCGATAATGACAATCTGCAATACATATAAAATTTGTAAGATAATAAAAATGAACATATACAAAAACAAACCAGCAAATTTATGCATTAGCTACAGTAGGGATTAAAATTTGAAGTTCTATTCTACTAGCCATGCCATAAAACTTACTTGCCACTACAAGTCATAGTATGAGTATCAGGTGTTAATTTCTACTTGCAAGGGCTAAACTTTCATTCGCTAATGACTAGGGTAAATTTTAAGACCTGATCTAGAGTACCCAGTTTATAACTAACCCCACCACCCCCACCCCACGCCGGTGAAGCTACTAAAAGCTGGAAAAAACAAAAACAAAAAAAATACATTAATTCTAGGAGGCAATGTATCCATGAATCTATCCACATTATATAAGTGGCATGTCACCTATTGCGATCTTAAGGTTATTCCAGGATTACATCATGACTACTTCAGTGATTTGAAGTGGTCATTGTGTCTGGAGACTGTTTCACGGTTTCAGAGTTTCACTTTAAAATTTGAATATTAAACTACGCTGCTGTTGGAGGTGTAACTTTGCTCTCTTGCAATATTAGTTCAGGTCAGTTCTGAGAAAATTTCGATGCAGACGCTCATTCACTGTCAGAGTGGTCAGCTAACTCTCAGCCAATCAATAAGCGGCAAGATCTTTGCTTTGCAGACGCCTGAAATTTGTATTAGTGGTAAGAGAACAAACCAATAAAAAAAAAAAAAAAGTTTGCCACATTAATGGGGGCAACGTACACCTAACCATCACAATCACTATGCTGCTATAATCATTGAAATGGGATCATCTAACCTGGGCATCAAACGTGCGTCCAGAATGGCAAAGATTGCTTGGCTCACAGAGAATAAAACCTGGAAGGATTTCTTCCTCTTCAATGCCTTTAAGTCGGAGTTTCAGATTTTCACCTGACGCTACAAGCTCTGTCTCCACTTCGTCTGATAGCAGCCCAAGAACTTCAACTGTGTGCTGTATTAAAAAAAAAAAAAAAAACAGCAAGATATTTATACCTGATGTAGATTAACAAAGTTTAAAGCATAACAATGATTTTTATCTTCATTTTGTCAAGACTATACTCCACTGGGTGAAAAATCCCCATAACATTTTCACTGAATCTTTAAAAACCACTATAGGCACCCAGACCACTTCAGCTCAATGAAGTGGTCTGGGTGCCAGGTCCATCTAGTGTTAACCCTGCAGCTGTAAACATCGCAGTTTCAGAGGAAAATCCTATGGACTGATTAAATGTGCGCGGCTCTTGCCGCGCATGCGTCGGAAGAGGGAGGAGAGTCCCCGGTGCTGGAGAAAGGTAAACGTTTAACCTCTTCCACCCCCTAGAGCCTATTTACACCTACAAGTTTGTTTTCCTGGCACTATAGTGGTCCTTTAAAAAGAATGTAAAAGGTTTAAGCAAAATCAAATCTCACCTTGTTTGGCATCATCACAAGCTGCTGTCCTTTAGCTATTGAACCAGATTCTAGTTTTCCTAGAACAACTGTACCCATATCCTGTAAAGAAACAAAAACAGGTTAAAAACCGATAGAATGCCACATTTTACAGCTAATCACAGCACATAATTTAATAACAGTAATTCTATTGCAATAAGTCAACATATACTGAATACACCTGCACCAAGCTACAAAGGTTACAGTAACTGAAAAATTGTACATTCAAAATAAAAGACTTAATGTTGTGGGGAAAAAAAAAAACCCACCTTGTACTTATCCACAATTGGCAGCCTGACAGGTCCATCATATGATCTGTTGAAGTTTGGCAAGTTGTCCAGATATGGTATAAACGATAAGCCACTACAGAAAGAATAGGATTGATCAGCAACATTTGGGTTTACATACAACTCATGACACAAGCACAAACTTTTCACAAGTATTAAAGAGTACGCAACAAGACTATTAAACTAGCCACAGAGAGCAGTTCGACATGGCCTCATACTCCTAGACAAAGCCTTTATGCACCAATTTAATAAGAAGTAATGAAATACAAAGCAGTTGAATGAAAAGGAGTTTAGAATAGGGGAGACTGGTACAGGAAAATTGAAAAGATAAAAGGGCAGAAGGACACTGGCACAGGGCAGAACAACTGTTGAGTGGCAAAAGGGAAGAGTGGGAAAATCGTAATGGGGAACAAAAAGGTTTAAGTAGACTGATATATGGAGAGTTAGGAAAACCAATCTGTTAAAAGAATTGTTACTTCAACTAGAACAGTATGTGTAGGATTGCACCCCTGTGATTTGTACAGAACATTTGCATGAGAATCTTAATTTTTAACACTTACTTGTACCATGGGCAAAAATCGACTGGTTCTTTAAGGTTGGCTCCAGTCAGTCCTGAGCATGGCATAAAGTGAATATCTTTCTTAGGGTTAAAACCAACTTTCTTCAAAAACGGCACAAGCTTTTCTTTACATTCTTCATACCTAACAAAAGACAAAAACATAAACACTTAAAATCAGAGTAAAGGAATTACTATGAACTAATATATTCAGCTATGTTTTCTTCAAACAATTGACCTACAACTAGACTGTGGTAAAGCATCTAGAACAGATGAAGCTATGCGTGCCTCACTGACTGACATTTTCCTGGTCATTCTGTGCAAATGATCCTAAAACACATGCGGTGCAACACGCCATCTCCGACTAATGCAAATTAATTACCTGTCATTACTCCAGTTCACTGTTGGATCGTCCATTTTATTAATAAGAACTATTAAATGTTTTACACCGGCTGTTTTTGCCAACATGGCATGTTCTCTCGTCTGCCCTCCTTTTTCAAATCCAGTCTCAAATTCACCTTTTCGTGCAGAGATTACCTGCAAGGAAGAAAAAAAGAAAAAAAAATTAAAAACACATTCATGGTTTACTCATTGCAATGTATCAAGAGCACCAGTTTACAGAGTCTGCTATACAAGCAACAAGTCCCATCTACATACAGAAAGCATACAAAAGGAACCTCACTTCAAGCACCCATTAAAGAGAATTAAAATGTAGGCAGGTATAGAAGGGACTAAGTGTAGTTCTAAACCTTAGACTACAATTTCCATCATGTTAATTCACTCTGGGATAATTATACCAGCAATTAGAGAGGCATGGATTGACTGTTATAGGTACACAAAACACCAACAGTACACTATGAAGTACAGAGTCTCCTGGTGCATCCCCAGGGTAAACGGTCAAACAGTATATCTGAATCTGCTCTGCACCCACTGTCCTCCCAGTCTGCAAAGCTATGCTGAAACAGAAGTTTTATACAACTGCATCCTCTCCACCACTGTCTCATTTGTCCCCTGGTATTTATAGAAATACACCTCCATGTTCATACACGGACACACCAATGAAACATCTCCATAAATCGTACATTGAGGTTCCACAGAAATAACCCCGCACCCTCACATCGATACTATACAGAAATACATGTATATGCACCGACATTTCACAGACGTACATCCCATGCAAAAGGTCATATTAAGACAGGGGTGGTATTGTGATTGTTGGTGCTAAGCAGGGAAGCCATTAAGGGTCATAGCTAGTACTAGCCAGTAAAAGCAGTGGGGCCTGTATGGACCGGATCACACTCCAGTTTACTAGAACGCTTAACGGACTGCCCATTGTTCATTCTTGTGTGCAGCACTGGAGGAAGTAATGTCAGATCACTTCCTATCAGCACTCGTAGAAACCACATGTGAGAAGAGGAGCTTGCCACATGCAGCCCAAGCAAGCTTAAAGGACCACTATAGTGCCAGAAAAAACAAAACAAATATACTCGTTTTCCTGGCACTATAGTGCCCCCACCCTCAGGGTCCCACTCCCGCCGGGTAAAAAGTATGGCGAGGAAAGGGTTAAATCTTACCTTTTTTTTTCCAGCGCCGGGCAAGGAGCTCTCCTCCTCTCCGGCTGAATGCACATGCGCGGCAGGAGCTGTGCGCGCATTCTGCCAGTCTCATAGGAAATTTTTCACTGTGAGAAGCACGCAAACGCCTCTAGCGGCTGTCAATGAGACAGCCACTAGAGGCTTTAGAGGCTGAATTAACTCATTTATAAACTTAGTTTCTCTGAAACGGCTATGTTTATATAAAAAAAAAAAAAAAAAAGGGGTTAATCCTAGAGGGACCTGGCACCCAGACCACTTCATTAAGCTGAAGTGGTCTGGGTGCCTAGAATGGTCCTTTAAAAATCCCCACTGCACCACAGGGAAGCCATGATCAAGCTGCAAAATGGTAACTAAAATCAAGGGTGCCTAAATAAAATGTTTTAGTGTGTGTGTGCATTTGTATAGCCATGCATGTATCTGGATGTGTGTAGTACTTAAAAGTATATCCCAACGGTAGTGATGGCCATGACTCATTTAAATTCTCTAAAGTGTTAATTCACTTTGAGCATTTTTTTTTTTATTTGATCAGATTTAAAAATAAAAAATTAGTTGCATCCCTACATTACGCATGTCTTACACTAGGACGACACAAGGGACTACTGACACCATCACTAGTGTAGTGGTTATGGTGTTAAGTGCATCAATTTACATCATGCGAACATTGCTCACAATTTCACCTAGCAAGTGCTTTGGCAAGTAAAATTTAGTCCTTGCTGGGTATGTGGGTAACTTTAAAGGCCGGGTTAATAGCATAGGACATAAGTTTTAAGCCATGAAGTAAGCATTGTTTTAATGCAGACATTTGAAGCGACACCTGCAACACTAACTCATTAGGAGCAATGTGTAAATATAGGTTACAATTAGTATGTTTTTGTTTTGTCACTCCACCCCCCCACCCATTTGCAAAAGCTAAACCACACCTGCCATTAAAGCATCAGGATTGGCCATCACTTTCTAGCTTGTCAAGACTTTGTATAACAAGCTTTTAATCACAAAACACAGGAACTTCAAGTGTATGTATCTCACAGAAAAAATATCAAAATCAACATTTAATAATAAAAAAATTTAATAAATAAATGTGCCTTACTAGAACAGCCAGGTCAGCTTGAGAAGCTCCACCAATCATATTTGGAACAAAGCTCTTGTGGCCAGGGGCATCAAGGATAGTAAAGTGTTTTTTCTCGGTTTCAAAGTAAGCACGGCCAACTTCAACTGTTTTACCTTTGTCTCGTTCTTCCTGATTTGTGTCTAGTGCCCAAGAGAGATACCTGAAACAAATAAGACCTCTAGTTAACACTATGAAATGTAAAAAGCATGACTGCTTCTCAGAAATAAAAAATGTGCACGGTAGACTACAAAGTTTACAGAGTCAGCATAGAACAAAGAGGGCAGTAATAAATCGGTCATGTAGTGCTAATGTTGTGAGATATGAGTTGTAAATGACTGGAGTGCTTTTTTGTTTTATAAGCATAGTATAATTCCAATGCCGAATACCCAGCAGTTTATTAACTGTGTATACGTGTGCATGTAAGATTAAAATTACCAGGTTTCTCTGTTTTTCTCTTTAGCTTCTCTTTCATATTTCTCAAGTGTTCTTTTGTCAACCATGCCCGTTAAATACCTAAACAAAGTAAAAAAATAAAAATAAAACAATATATAGCCACACACAGAAAGATATGATATAGCCAGTTTACATATTTGTGGACTAGCAGTCTATGGTTTACTTGGAATTGGACTTATTGCTCACTACAATAGTACTGTTCAACATCAATGTAAAAGGACAGATTCAGTTTGACCAACCTAACAAGACATTTTTATCTGTTCCTTTAAAGCCTCTCTTGTAATATTATTGAGGAAGAAAAACCTCTAGAATGTAAGCTCATTGAGCAAGGCCCTCCACCTCTCTGTTCCTGTATGTCCAGTTGTCTGGTTACAATTACATGTCTGTTAGTCCACCCATTGTACAGCGCTACGGAATCTGATGATGCTATATAAATAATACCTGACATTACTCCATGGTGAGCTTTCCTGCACTTGTATTTCTCCGGGTTTGTCTCCTCACACCCCAATCCCCGTTTCCCAGATATGCCACTCTTACTGTCTACATCTTGGTATCGTTCTCATCACATCTTTGATTACAGATTCAACACTTGTAATATTGAGTTGTATGCAGATGAAATATACTTACATTATTTGGCCACCAATGGTAGACTTTCCGGCATCTGGAAATAAAAAGAAATGGTAAGTAAAAAGGTTTTGTTTGGATGAAAACATTTGTAAAAAATACATTGTTTTTCAAGTCATTTTATTACAGTGTGCAAATTTTGCATAATGCTTTAAGTGATAAAAGAATTTGCTGTAAACCAAAGGCATTGGAGCTTGAATAATGTTGAAATCATCTTTAAATATTTGTCCTGACACAACGTTGCATTAGGAATACTTTTTACCCATTGTTATAGTAAGTTTAGAAGCAGAGTATGTTAACTAGTTAAGGTAATTCACATGCAGAACTGTATTCCATTTAATGATGCTCAAACAAAAACACATGCACTGATAAACCCGAGTAATATACTATACATTTGATCATTTCAGGTCTGATTGCTGGAAGGTACAAACACAGATAAGCAGACTTATAAGTGAAAGGGCCTTCAGCAAACCTTTAATTGTATTTAACATGTTAAAATAATAAATTTAAGACAAAAAAAAAATATATATACATTTTTTTTTAATTAAAGAAGAACAAGCGTCCTGGCCAACATACCTACATGCCCGATGAAAACCACGTTAACATGTTCTTTTTTGGGGGCATCTGGGAGTGCTACAACTGTTTTGGGTTTTGCAATTTCTTCCTCTTCCTCCATCATTTCTGGTGCAGCATCTTCAGAAGACCCTCCATCACCTATACCGCCTCCAGGTTCTGTTTCACTGGGCTCATCTTTGTGATCCCACGACTCTTCAGGTGACATTTCCGTCTCTCCATTTTCTACTGCAAGAGAGAATAGAAAGTCAAGGGTTGCATGGTTAAGAAAGTTGTTTTTTTGACAGTTAGTGACCTGTTGGGGGAACACCTAAAAGTAGTAGCAGCCTAGTAGTTTGGAAGAAAATTCAGAAAGAATGATGGGAATTAAACTTATGCCACGGACAAAATCCTACACAAACATTCGAAATGGTCAACTGGATCAAAGTCAACATCTAGCAGAGATGCACAAGAGACAGAAAATTGGTTTGGCAATACTGGAGAACACAAAGTGCTATGCTTACAGGACAAGCCTGAACACCATAATTACTACATGATTATGTAGTGGTTATGGTGTTTGGCTTTGGACGTCACCCCGTTATTGGTCAAGAACAGGTTCTTAGCACCCGTGGGTTTTGCCCTCAACCAACAAAAACTACTAATACAGAAATTCTACTTCTGTATGCCACTGACTGGCTAAGCAAGTCACCCAACATGCTCAGCCAAAGACAAATCTGTCCATAAGGAGGGTTTATTTAAGAGAATGTAAATCAATGATAATTGGTTGTGCATAGCAACGTTCTTCTGCATGACCTGTAAAGGAGATTGGTACAAACTTGGCATGTACAGTTAAGTCCGTTTAATCAGAGTTTAAGCGAAATCTATAATGTTGGTTAGCACAGCCTGGAAATGACTTATGTTTATATGTTAAGGGAGGCCCGGTGCGAGTTAAGCATTTTTAAAATTAAACACTGGACATTTCTACTTAGGAAAGAATTTAATTTTTTTTAAATGACAAGCGAATATACCCTATTTCCAGGTGTAGGAAACCTTCAACACTTCAGATATGCACTGTATCTACCATAATGCTAGCAAACCATTAGGGGAGATTTTTTGCACAACATCTGGAGTATTGCAAGGTTGCCTACTGTACTATTCCATTAATTACAATGGGGACGCATATACCTTTGACCATGTAGTTTACAAAAAGAGCCAATACAAATAGCTGTCTCAACTGTTCAAAGGACAGTTTAAAAAAAAAATAATAATTACGTATCTATGTAGCCTTACTGCATTACAAAGGTTTGTCAGGACCCAAAACGTCCACTTGCCATTAGAGAGTGAATATGTATATTTTGGAATAGTGAGGCTTGCAATAAAAGCCAAATATCGCACGGTGAGTTACAGTCCCTGCACCCAGAGTCTGTGGTATCTCTCCTGTCAGGATGTCAAAGTTTAACATCAGTATTGCTCCATCTCTCTGTTTCTGCTGGCTCCTAAATAGCCCTCAACACATTTCACATGACTGGTCGCTTTCTCAAGGTAAAGATTTCACGCACTCAATTTGCTGTGGACTGAAAATCCAAGCACACTGACATCAAAATAAATACACACAGATAATTCACATACCCAATTTACCTGTAACCTAAAAACTACACATTTAATTGTGCCTTATACCCCAACAAAATTTCAAAGTGTTACATAACTGAACTGACAGCAGAATATAAAAAGCTGTCACTTACCAACAGGCTCAGAAATCTCCATCCCAACAGCTGCATTGGAATCTGAAGACAAAAAAAACCTTATAAAATAGCTTGGCATTTGATGCAAACACAACTGTTTCAGACATATCTACATTCTGCATAGTTTAGGCTGCTTTTTTTGGGAGCATCATTGTTGTAATTGTTTTTATTGAATATTGGTCTCTGAGGAAGTCCCATAAGAGGACGAAACACGCAAGACCAAAATGTCTTTTAATTAAAATTTTAAAACTTATTTCCAATAAACCTCTTCTACTCATCTACCTGTCGGGAGTACTGCTTGGTTTCTGATATTGGGTGATACCTGATCCTAAGAGGGAGACATTAACCCCCCAAATACCAGGGGAGGCACCATTAGAGCGCATTTAACTTCAAAATCATGTGAGTGCAATCTTTAGCAGAGATTATTATATCTCCATCAACTGTATTATGCTTTTTTATTATTATATATTTTAGGTTTAGCAGCTGTATCCCACGTGTAATATATTTTGGCTACATTCAGCATATCCTGAAAACTGTATGGACTTGAAGTACCTAAACCATTATATAGTGACTATATAGCCCCAACTTCAACATTGGCACACTAAGTCAACCCGCTACCTGCAGAGATGCTCCCGATCAGCTGAATACTGCTGGAGTAAGTTCCGCATCGGCAGACTTATTATAAATCCATCTCTGCGTACATACAGCACAGCCCTCACCCTGGCTAAACAATCCTACATTCACTCTCTCATCCATGCTCTCACAATCCCAGGCTTCTGATACCTTCAACTCACTTTCCCCATCTCAAGACGACCCCCAAACTAACCTTTCACCCAATAGCCTTTCAGGCTACTTTACCGACAAGATTAAACAATTAAGGAAAGAATCCCCTCTATCGCAACCTCACATGGACCATACCTTCACTACCCTTCAAGCTTCTCAGTTACTGAACAGGAGATGGCTGCGTTTCTCCTCGTCCCACCACCGGTCCGCTTTATTCAATCCCCCCCCCTTGAACCATCCTTAACGGCTATCTTTCGTCTGGTGTTGTCCTTACTCCCCTTAAACATGCTGTCGTACCCATCCTAAAAAAGCCAATTTAGATCTTTTCCTTCCAACTATCGTCCCATATCTCTGCTTCCCACCCCCCAAGTTTCTAGAAAGACTTCTTTAGTTTGGCTCATTTACTCAATTCCAACTCTCCTCGACCCTATTCAATCTTGTCCTCACCCTCTCTAAAACAGAGCTCATTATTTTTCCTCCTCACAATGTTGATCCATCTCTTGCTTTCCTGCAAGTTCATGGTGTTATCTTTGATAATGGCCTCACCTTTGCACCTCATATCCAGTAGGTTGCTAAAACCGGTCGATGCCACCTTAAAAACATTGCCCGCATCCGCCCCTTTCTTACACAAGATGCTGCCAAGCAGCTTGTTCATGCTCTGGTTATCCCTCGCATGGATTACTATAATTCTCTCATAATTGGTCTCCCTAGAAGCTGTACTACCCCCTACAATTTGTAATGAATGTGTCCTCCCATACCCTGCTTCTCAGTCAATCCTTACATTGGCTTCCTGTATCCTACAAGTGTCAATTCAAAATACTAACCCTTGCATATAAAGCGTTTTAACAACTCTAGCTGCTGTTACATCTCTTCACCAATTCGTAGTTATGCTCCTTCATGGTCTCTCCGCTGTGCCGGCGACCTTATTCTGTCCACTGCTCGCACCCTTAATGCGAACTCTCGCTTGCAGGACTTTTGTTACTGCCTGCTTACCACCAGACTCTTCTAGTCTTCAATCATTTAAGAACTCCCTCAAAACCCATCTGTTCAGAAATGCTTATGGCCTCCCAGTGTAACTTCTGTGTCACATATCAGTCTCTTGCTCTCTTCTAAAGAACCACTCCACCCTTACCTCCAGCTATGCTACTTTCCCCCTTGCTGCCCTATTGTGTTTTTATACCCCACCTCCTCTAGACTGTAAGCTCGTTTGAGCAGAGTTCTCACCTACCTATTGTTCCTGTAACATTTTGTAAATATCTAATTTATTGTTAAATTTACCCACTCATTATATTGTAAAAACGCTGCGGCGCTATACAAATACCAATAATCTTAGTCAAATGGGTCATTAGGTGCTATTTCCCTGTTTTACATTAAGTCAGTCCCCCCACCTCCCCCCCAGCACACTAAAGTTTTAAGTAAAAATGCATAGGTGATATGTAAGATGGGCAGCAGTGTATAAAGACCGATCAGCGTGTGTGTGTGTGTGTGTATATATATATTTAAAAAAAATGTTTTTTATTTATTTAGTATTGGTCCTGTAAGTATTGGGGGAACTTAACATACTAGGACAGGCGGAGGTTGGCCAGGTTTTTTTATGAAGGGTATCCAGATTGCTAAAGATGTTAAACTGCTCTTGAGCAGTCCAGACAGTACAACAGATATCTCCCAAAACTCAAAGCCATTCATAAAAATCTGTCCAACAGTGGATAGACACGATAGGCTGAGTGTGCTGGGGTAGTTTAGCTATCAATGCCATTCATGGCTGTATGGAGTTTATGGATAATGAGAAAGTAAAAATCATGCAAAATGAGGGTGACTGGTTTGGAGTCATCATGACAATATCATTATAAGATGTAGCTATTGTGTTTAGAGTACCTCTACAATATCAATTAAAAACAACTTGTGCAGCTAGTAACTTCTCTAAGTTATCTATTTTAAGGCTCTGCAAATAAGAGCAGCTCCAGAGAACTGCTGTTGCTTATAAGATCCATACTTAAATACATTTTAGATCAGGTTTTAGTAAATAGTTGAAATGTTTTACATCTGCATCCCACCACCCTAAATTTCAAAGGTGTAATTTTTTGAATTTATTTTGAGATGGTGACTTGGCATTAAATGCCAAGTCATGACCTCCGTGCAGCAACATCCAGTATCATAGAGAGTGCTGTAGGACACATAACTTCAATTGTTTTCAAAAAATTTCCTTCCAGTATGAAAAACAGGAGGATAAAATATATACAAAATGCATACCTTCTGAAGACAGAGATTTTTCATCTTGTGCCGAGTTATCGGTTGTATCTGGGGAAACCAAAAGGACATGTTTCAAAACTATCGAAAATTAAAAATGGTAAATTCAAGACAACCTGGGTTTTAGCTACTTTTTTTTAATGGCATGTAAAACAGATTGCTTTAATTTACAAAATCAGGACAATTGTTTCAAGACAAGTATTTAACTTGACCCTGAGAACTGTAACTGCGAAATATAGTTACAGTGGTTATGGTGGAAAGAGTTTATAAGCTCTCCTCACGCAGCCATAACATGGACCCTTGTCTGGCCCTCTGATAATGTGGCCACTAAAATCCTCTAACTGAAATTGTACCAAAATTGTAAGTGCTTCCAACAAAGGCAGTCATTCAGGTGATACAGAAACCAAGGCAGTGATGCCTCAGGCAAAATACAAGTTAGCTTTTCAGCAGGACAATTTAAAGGAAAGCCAAAATGACCTCTATTAACAGCTCACTATGCGAATCTTAAAATATCACTGATTATGTGTGTTCTCAGCCTGTGAATAATTCCATGGCAACCAAATCAATGGCTTCCAAACAGGTCACGAGGGGAATAAAGCAGCAAAATTACTTCATCTAAATGAAGTGATTTTAGGACATAGATGCTGCCCCTGCGGTCACAACAGAAATCATTACATAGTTTTTAGATTAATATGTGGTCGGAGATCTAAGGTAAAGGGGATGCCAACTCTACGGAGCAAATTTCTGCAGATTGTTTTGCCAAGGAGTATTTCACTTTTAAAACACATGGCTTTCTTGCTTCCATACACTTAGCCTATCACAACCATCTAGTTTGGACAGAACTGGTAATCAAAATGTGGACGTGTAAATTCTGCATCATCAATGTGGCAGAGCAAGGGGTGGTCCCGAAGGCCAGAGAGCAAAGATTTTGTAAAACTACACTCAAACACCTCAACAAAAAACAGGCCTCCAAGCAGTTGTGGTTATGGTACTTAGAGCACCCCCTTATTTAAAAGTCTTGCTCGGCTCCTAGATGCTAGTGACATTTGTCAAGGCCCATTGAAGGATATTGGTATAGCACTTGCTTGGCTCCTGAAAACACAAGACACTAGGTGGCTACAAAATAGGTAACGGTCACACATAAAACCATTAAATGGCAGCAGATCTAAATATAAAATTATGATTGCAAGCCAGAGATTTAAGTAGGACTTAAACACTTGAAGCACGTGTCCTGGTGCCCCTCTAAGTAGTCAAATTGTTTTAGGACAGCTTTACTGGTTACCTGGGGAATGCCTGGAGCAGCTCCCATCCACTTCTAAAGATAGCATTAGCTCAGCTGATCGCTCTCAGGCAACGAGAGTACAAAAATGTCCAATTATTAACTTCTAGCTTACTCGTGTTGGAGATGGGGAGTGGTAAGTCCAAGCGCCACTCCCTGCCTCCACTACATCTGACTGAAATCTGGATGGAGCTTCTGTTAGCTCCCCTGTGATAAGCCCTGCAGTGCTTGTTCAATGGCCGAGTATGTCAGATGATTGCTCTCAAACAATAAGCTAAACCCCTCAATGCTGGGTTTAGCTCAGAGAGGGAGGTGCCAGCTATATCGGATAAATTCAATGGAGTGGTTCCCTGCAGCACCAAGATAAGAAGTCTACTTACTACTTGAATACTTACAACAGGGTGGCGGTTCAACATAAATATAGGATGATGACTCTTAAAAAGATGGCCGAAAAGTGCATATAGTAACCCAGTGGTAACCTACCCTCAGAAGGTAAATGCCACAAGTATAATGTCAATCCCTCAAAATGACATTCTTCTGGTACTCAAAGTGAGAGTTTCTAAACCTGTAATTGCTACAGAAAAATGGATGCGTTTACAGAATGTGAAAAGCAACTACTTCTATGAGGCAGTTTTGCAAAATGGCAAGACTCCAGATGTTGCCATCAGCAATAAAATTCCCTCTGCATAATGGTATTTTAAGTTAACAGCTGGTGAGATTAAGTTTGCCAAATACACTGAAGTAGATGAGTTTGGAACATAAAAGGCTCAGGACAATGCAGAAAAACATATAGGTGTATTGATGTTGGAACGAATTATGCCCCATGCAGCTATGCTACTATAAACAGCACTGCCTCAAAAAAATAAAATATATATATATATATTTTACCGTTTCCATGCATACTAGTGCCTGTCAGACAGTCATAAGAGGCTCCAGACAGGAAAAGATTCAAATTCTGAACCCACTGATGTCAGTATGCAAAGTATGCTTTACCAGAAGCTGTGCATGCCCGGTGCAACTATATGAGAAGCACTAGATTAATTGAGGAAATTAATTGAGAATACACGATGCCACAGGAGGAGGAGGATATGTCTTATGAGAGTATACTTTCCCAGTGCTGGATTTCAGGGTTTGTTTTTTTTTGGAAAGGGGCACAGTGGTCTACTATGATAAAATAAAGGGACACTATAGTCACCAGAACAACTACAGCTTATTGTATTTGTTCTGGTGAGTATAAGCATTCCCTTCAGGCTTTTTGTTGTAAACACTATCTTTTCAGAGAAAATGCAGTGTTTATATTATACCCTACTGATGACTCCACTGGACACTCCTCAGATGGCTACTAGAGGTGCTTCCTGGGGCAGTCCTGCCTAGTGTGCCGCACTGCCATTCAGTGTCTCCATTCTCTGATTGCAGACACTGAACTTTCCTCAGATGCATTGATTTCATTTAATCTCTATGAGGAGATGCTGGTTGGCTAGGGATGTGTTTGACTTGTGCTGGCTCTGCGTCCTAGGCAGTCTCAGCCAATCCTATGAGGAAGCACTGTGATCGACTCAGACCACCACTTCTGATGTCAGCAGACAGGTTAGAGGCAGCAGCTGCAGACTTGAATAAAAGTAAGATGTTACAATATTTAGGGAGGCAAAATGGGGCCAGTGGTGGCTACATGGTGGTTTTAACACTATAAGGTCAGGAATACATATAGGGTCAGAACTATTATTCCTTTAATATAGCCAATAAATGTTATTGTTAGTTTAAGAGATTTTAAAATTCAAAGAAGTATTTTCCAGCAGATTATAAATTCAATACATGACATTGGGATGTTTTGGCTCTCAGGGTCAAGAAAATAAAAGGTAATGCAAACCAATGCCGTTTAGTGATGCTGCTCACCCTTTGTTAATCAAACGACATTGAAAAGGACTTCTCTTATGCCAACAGAAATGGACATGTGAGCTCTCTGCAAGCAAAGTACAGAAAACTAGTTTACGCAATAGTGGGTGGGACTTTCCTTAGTCATACAGGAAAAGAGATTAGAAGCAATAGGACATATGTCAAACTACAGAACTTGGACACAGATTATGGAGTCTTGCTGAGAAACTTAATCTTTAGAAGGACAAACTAAACAACTATAACAGAAAGACTACAAAAACTCTGCTAGCCCTGTAACATACATCTCTAAAGAAACTGAAAGCTCCTCGAATGGAGCAGAAAGAACAAGGTTAAAGCAATGTAAACCAAAGTATGTGAAACTAAAAATCAACGACTTGGGAAAGTTGTGCCCATTCAAATCCACTGATACTTAAAGGGACACTACACAACATAACTGCTACAAATTAACTGTGGTGGTTGGGTTTCCTAGACTCCGTCAGCATTCCTCAATTTACTATCAAAACATTGAATGGTTTGATATAAACAGAAAATCTACATGGCGCCAACTGCCTTCTAATGCTCCTCTACCAGAAGCTCACTACTGACCAGGAGGTAACCAGAACTGGTTCTCTCTAATTGTGGGAGCAGGAGCTATGGTGAGACAAGCAGAATGTTCAGTTTAAAAAAGATCGAAGTTGAAGCAGATGTGGCTAGAGTTGCAAAAGGGCAGACCAAGAGTAGCAATTTGTGTGAATGTTACAACTATAGATTACTAGCCATGCATGTAATTTTTGTTCACTTTCTATGAAAGATTTGGATGACTAGTGTAATCTAACTTAGACAAGCTTATGTTTAACAGGTCAAGTGAAAGTTGTGCTGATGGTTTATTAGTTCTGGTTAATATTAGACAGCCAATTTGAAAATACAACCTCCAAATCGGGCCACGGTAGAAGGGCAGGTGTTTGATCACAGCAATGACCAGCTTTTCTTCAAGCTACTCAAAAACAGCAGGAGAGAAAACTAAAGCACATCACCCAAACACTCCGTACTCCTTAAAGGCTCACTAACCACTATTTCATATAAGTGAATGGTTATCGTGTCTTTGGACACTGAGCACCATCCCCCCTATTCAATATTTAATCATTTGCAAGCAGTTTAACACTGAATGGGAGGGTGTTAAACATCACACATGTCCAATCAAACGCATCTCTTAGGAAAGCACAGAATTAAAAAAAAAAAAAAAAAAAAAAGTTTCACTGTTATTGGTGTGGAAGCACCTCCAGTGGCTCTCTGTAGGAAAACAACTAGAGTTGAGTTTAACCATGCAATGTAAATATTGTTCTTTAAACCACTTTAAATAGTTTAACTTTGAATGGAGGATGGTGCCAGGTGATTCCAGACACTATTCACTTCAATCAGAAGAAACAGTTCCACCAGCGCTTACAGTGTCCTATTTAGCCACAACAAAGCCGTAAAGGTTATAGTGCTCCTTTAAGTGTCATAAGTCATGGTTTATACAAGCCCAGGAAAATTATAGTAGCTTTTGGCATTTAAATTTTCTAAAATTATTACCACTCTTGTCCCATGAGGATGGAGAAACAAATGATAACTTACTTCAGAAGAAAACCAGCTTAAATAAGTAAACACGCAGAACAGGTACAAAAAGCAAAAAAAAAAAAAACTAAATGACCAACTGTGTAACATTTTATACTGTTACAAAATACTGTAAAATGTTGAACTTTGAAGTTGTTTAAATTTTGCATTCGTTTCCCTCCATGGGTAATCAGATTCGTATATTTTATCCACAGAAGAGAAGCCAGATATCCCATTTTTAACAGCCTACGGAGTGGCAAATGCTTCAGGGAGAGAACCCATTCCCCAATGAAGATGCTCAGTTTTACAGATAAACGTTTTTTGTTAATCCCTTGAATTTATATGATTTTCATGCTGAAAGTGAGCAGCAAAAACTGCTATGTATTGGCAGCAGAGAAAGGGATTATTTTACTCTGCTAGTGCAGGAGTTAATTCATCTGTGTTATCTGTGCACTATAAGAAAATAAAATTTCTCTCCATCACACATAGCTAGTTAGAACTTTAAAGGATCACTATAGTGTCATGAAAACATAGCGGATTTCCTGACACTATAGTGCCCCCAACCTCAGGGTCAACCTCCCGTGGTGCTGATGGGGTTAAAACCCCTTCAGCAGCTTACCTTATTCCTGCGCCAGGCACTGGTGACCGCTCCTCCCCTGCCGAAGTCAGCCCCACCATCCGTCAACGGAGCCAAATGCGCACGCGCGGCAAGTGCCACGTGCACATTCAAAGTGTCCATTGAGCTGAAGTGGTCTGGGTGACTATAGTGTCCCTTTAAGCATCATCTTAAACATCAAAATAATAGCCTGATCGCCACTACAGCCTGCAAGAGTAATCAGTGAAACTGTTTTGAAACTTACTTGGTCCCCCAGTCTACTTTTTTTTCCAGAGAAGCCAGATGTCTCTCCTAAGCAAAGAACGGCAAGATACAAAATTGCACTTAAGTGCTTTCCTAAATGGATCTAACTCAGAGGTGCTCAAAAGGTAGATCCCCAGATGTTGTAGAACTAAGCAACATTGAAACTCTAGTTTTAAGACATCTGGGATCAACCTTTTGGGCACTCCTAATCTAACTGGGTTGTCCTGCAGTGCCCTGGAGTTCTCCCAGAATAATTTCTCAAACCAATTTAAAAAGGTTTGAAAACTTAAAGGACCACTATAGTGCCAGGAAAACACTCGTTTTCCTGGCACTATAGTGCCCTGAGGGTGCCCCCACCCTCAGGGACCCCCTCCCGCCCGGCTCTGGAAGGGGGAAAGGGGTTTAAACTTACCTTTTTCCAGCGCTGGGCGGAGAGCTCTCCTTCTCTCCTCCTCCGTTCCGCCCCGTCGGCTGAATGCGCACGCGCGGCAAGAGCTGCGCGCGCATTCAGCCGGTCGCATAGGAAAGCATTTACAATGCTTTCCTATGGACGCTGGCGTGAGCTCACTGTGAAAATCACAGTGAGAAGCACGCAAGCGCCTCTAGTGGCTGTCAATGAGACAGCCACTAGAGGCTTTGGGGGAAGGCTTAACCCATTAATAAACATAGCAGTTTCTCTGAAACTGCTTTGTTTATTTAAAAAATGGGTTAACCCTAACTGGACCTGGCACCCAGACCACTTCATTAAACTGAAGTGGTCTGGGTGCTTAAATTGGTCCTTTAACTGGGTCGTGCAAGGGGGCTGCAGTCCCCTTTTTAAAATGATTTGAGAAATGACACTGTCAGAGCTGCAGGGCACTAGTGGCACCATGAACACAACAGCAGGTTGTAGTGGTTATGGAGCATACCTTTAAATACAACAGCTTCTAATGCAGAAGACAAATGAGTTATCAAATGATTTCTTTGTAGCAGTTATATTATCACTTTCCACCCTTCACTCTAATACTATGATTCTCAGGGATCAGTTGGTCTCACATTATTGTAACAACCACGCTCCAGTCCTGCACCCCCTACTGCCCTGACCATGACTGGCACTGCATAAAGCCTTGGTTTATGGAATGTTGACTTTTTTCAAATGAAGGAACATTCTAATTTTAATTCTAAGTATTTTTAAACTTCAAGTTTTCCAGTATTGACAGTGAAATGCTGGATTTTAATTAAAAAGAGCACCTCAAGAATAATAACTACTTCAGTCACTGCAGTAGTAATGGCACAATGTGTCCTGTGCCATCACACAGTAAATCCCTAAACTATTTAAATATGAGTTTACAGAAGAAGAAGCAGGATAACTACAAATAAAAGCATAGCCATGTGTATCGGCAGAGAGCACTCAGCAGATGTTCTCAGGCAAGGAGCAAAGTCCTGCACGGCTTTACTTCGCTGTGTACAGCTATAACTAAAGTATACTCCAGGCTCCATTACCACTACAGCAGGCTATAGTGGTTATGGTGCTTCAATTCAAATATATACATCTGATACCAACATACATGTATATATATATATATATATATATATATATATATATATATATAAATAAAAAAAAAATAATGTAATGTTATTTAATGCAAGCAGAAATGGTTTATCCGTGGACATTCACACTTTACACAAGCGTCCCATATATCTCAACTAATGAGAAAAAAAAACAGATGTGCACTTTTTTGAAATCTCAAGATCTTATCGTTGAAGTTATGGAAGGGAAACAAAAAAACAAGAACTAGTTGCGCTAAAACTACATTAAATATAAGTGGTTTAACTGCCAATACCCAAGCCGAACCTGTTTCTACCATTCGACTCCTAAAGCTTCTGCAAAAGGGAGGTGTAACAAAAGCAGTAATTCTCAATAAGAACTGTACTGCATCTCATGCTGTGAGTCATCACGACTATATGGTGATTACGGGTGGAAAAATCATGCTTTTTAAAAAAAATAAAAAATAAAAACTCCACTTCTGTACCCTAGTAAACATGCTACCTATGTCCCTCTCAAGTTCAAGAGTGTAGTTTTATCTGCCTAGCCATAATCTATGTAACCTGCTCAGAACAATCTCCTGTTGAGCATGATATCTATTGTAGCAATATGCCATTTTCATGTAATACCATCCCCCTTAGACGTTAAACCTAGATAAATAGGTTACACACATCTACCGCATAACTTTTATGGTATTTTTTTATTTATTTTCTTTTTGGAATCTACCTGATGCAAGCTAGTGCTACATAAAAATCAATGTAATAACCCCAGGCATGGGCCCCACATGGCACTGTGCCTAATGTGAGAGCAGACAGAGGGCTGGGGTGTCTGTCTGCGATCACACTGCAGGCACCTCCCTCATGCCGGGAGATCAGGGCTGCCGCATCGTGTCCACCCTCCCTCCCTGCCGGCTCTAAGCCCCAGCATGTCCTCCCCTCCCCGGCTCTAGGCCCCAGCTATGCCCACCCACCCTGCCGGCTCTAGGCCCCAACATGTCCTCCCCTCCCCGGCTCTGGGTGCCAGCCATGCCCACCCACCCTCCCTGCCGGCTCTAGGCCCCAGCCATGCCCACCCACCCTGCCGGCTCTGGGCCCCAACCATGCCCACCCACCCTGCCGGCTCTGGGCCCCAACCATGCCCACCCACCCTGCCGGCTCTGGGCCCCAACCATGCCCACCCACCCTGCCGGCTCTGGGCCCCAACATGTCCTCCCCTCCCCGGCTCTGGGTGCCAGCCATGCCCACCCTCCCTGCCGGCCGGCTCTAGGCCCCATCATGTCCTCCCCGGCCCTGGGCCCCAGAGGTGGTGCTGAGCCTCCCTGTCCCCCCCCCGGCCCGCTGCTCACCGTCCTCCTTGCTGCTGATGAGGAATGAAGGCACGAACTCCGCGGCGTGTACATTGGGGACGAAGGGCTTGGCGTTGACGTTGAGCATGGCCAGGGCTGAGTTGAGCTGGGCCTCCGGGGCGTCCATATCCGCCTGATCCCAGGAATCCGGGGCCGAGTCGCTGGGCTCCATTTCCGGGTGTTGTGTGTGGGGGGGAGGGGGCGCTGCGGCTGCTGGTTACCCGCTCGGGATGGGCTCGGGCTGGGGAGAGTCGGCTCCGGCTGCGGCTTGCTTCCAGGAGACCCGGCTGATCCCGCGAGCGCCGCCACTAACCCGACTCAGCACTCACTCAACGGCTCCTCGTGTGCTGCCGTGACGTCACCGACGTAAGCCCGGCGCACAGAACGCGACGCGGGAGGCGCCAGCGGGTAGTTCGCCTGACCGCCCTGCTTCTATTGACTAGCGTGAGGCGTGCGCCCGCCTGCGGACTACATCTCCCGTGAGCCACCGCGACAGAAAAGCCGCTGACTGGCCTTTCCTCCTCTGCCGTGCGTGGCCGCAAAGGGCTGCCGGGAAGTGTGGTTTGCGACACTCAGTCCCCCCCCGGCAGCATGTCCACTTACCGGCCGGGTACACAGAGCTCTCCATGGGCTCCGGGTGGCCCCTCATACACCGCACACTGCCGCTTTATAGCCGATAGGAAGGCTCTGTGGGGTTATAGGAACATGTCAGCGAATTATAGTGACATCATAATAATAAAACATTACAAAATGTAATCAAATAAAATGTTTATTAAATCAAATAAAGATTCTCCAGCTCAGTAGAAGCACAGTTGGTGTGAATTTAGTGAATACAATGACCGTGTCCTGCTGCAAGGACTCTCCATGTCCTGTGCGTTACCTGCACACACTGTCACTGTTTGTAAAGGGACACCAGGCACCATAACAACTTCTTTATCGCGTTAAAGTTGTTATGGTGCCTGCAGTCCCCTGGCGCTGTACAGGTGTGTAGTTTCTAGATTGGTTTGGCACTGAATTAGGGACGCGGTCACCCACGGGTCCCTCCCTCCTTTCATTGGAGGTATGGCTAATTTGGAATTTAAGTTGACATTCGTCATACCGATTCACATGTAGTTTGGGTGACAGCGGAAGGCTGAGAAGACGTAACATACAGCCTCCGCCTATCAATGCTGACCGTAGCTGCAAGCCCTGAGCAGCAGAGAGGCCAGGTTGCAGTCATTCGGCGGTGACCATCAGTCAGTGTCACACCCAGTGGTGTATTTTGCATTTGTGCTGCCCTAGGCACGACTAAATTCGGGCACCTCCAAAATCTAAATTTGCCACCCCAATTTGTGTCAAAGCCACTTTTTTGACTGACAGACACATGCCCTCATTGATACATGCACTGATGTACACTCACTGACAGATACACAGTCATTGGCACACCCTGTTTAACCAACACACCCACTCACTGACAGGCACACACTCTCAGATACACATAAAATGACATACACACACTGACACACCCATTCTCACTGAAAGACACACACACACACTTTCACTCACTCACAGACACACACTGACAGCTACACTCACTCACTCACAGTAAGGTGGACAGCCCCAGAACATGAGGCAAACAAGGCACTTGTCTGGAAGCTTGGGGTGGCATTTTTTGGTGCCCCCCCGAAAGTGCCCACCTAGGCAAATGCCTTGTGGTAAATACATCCCCGGTCACACCAACACTGAATAGTGGGACTGCGCCATCCAATGAGAAAGTCGTGGAGCCTTCAGTGTCCCTTTAAAGGAATTCTCCACTGGACTAAAAAAAAAAAAAAAAACCTCTTTAGCTATACCCCTAATGAAAACATGCATGAATTTATTTCTGCATTTTTTTTCACTGTTGACATATCTTAAAAAAAAAAAAATCAGATCTATTGTCTTGTAAGGCCACCCCTTTTCTGTCTGTGCCATGGAAATATACAATCGTAAGTTTCCCATTGAGAAGCCTATGATTTTGGGCCATGAGCGGGTGCATGCGGCTTTCTGGGAAGGATTACTCTGTGGATATAATTGGATCAATAAGATAACCTCCATGGCTGTCAGACTAAAAGACAGAGAGGTGTTTCTGTAGTGACAATTTCAAATAGAGTGAAGTGGTCTTTTAACTTTCCCACTTCAAGTGGGTGCTCTCTCTTTTTCTAATTTTCTGATCCCTATAACGAATATTTACTACCCGCTTGAAGAGTGGTGTATATTTCCCCCCATCTACCCATAGATAGACCTGTGTAGTGTTTGTTCTGATGTTTCTTTAAACTTGTATCACAGCTCACATTTGATTGCTTATTTCATTTTACTCAGAAATGAAACATTAAAATTATATAAAGGGACACTCCAGGCATCCAGACCACTTCCGCCCATTGGAGTGGTCTGGGTGCCAACTCCCACTACTATTAACCCTGCAAATATAAGCATGCAGAAGCCAAACACAGAGAGATGGACACAGGTATTCAGGAAGTAAGAGGCCTTTATTCACATTACCGATCGGGTCTCAGATGAACTCCTGTTCCAAAATTCTGAGAGACCAACACATGGTGTACATTCCTTATATAGCACTATAACTCCTCTCATTAATAGCTATACCTACATATACCTTTAACCAATCAATGAGCAGAATATAGACTTGTACATCTAGACAAACCACATGGCCCATCCAAGACAAAGGAAATAAGTGCAATTTCAGTTCCTGCATTCCTGCACATGCTCAGTACATTGATGACAGTATCCTAGCTACGTGTAGCTAACTAACTGACACAACATACACATATGCCACATGGAAATCTTGGCCTTCTAAATTTACATTCCCCCGAAATTCCACCACATTCCTCCCTTTGATGCCTCTGATACAAATTATTCCAGATGCATCACCAATCACAGTTTTACCTACATCTCTCAAGTAGCCATTGAACCAGAGTAGACCTTGTAAGCATCTTAAAAACTCCTTCAACATTCCTCATCCTGAATATATTCTCTTTGGGCTAGGGGATCATATCTATAGACAGCCATTACATGAGCCGCTGTCTTTCTCTCTATAGTACTCTCTATAATACTACGTAGGGACCTTACCATTAATGGAATTAGACAGGGCAGAAAAAGACATAAGAATATGATAAACACTACTCCTCCTACTAACGCCTTAATCCCTCCAGGCTGCTCATACCAGCTTCCAAACAAACTATTAGGATTATACCCGTTCCAGACCTGAGTCGGTACATGCGCAAGTTTAACCATGTGACTAGTAAGTTCAGCCACTGCCTGACCTTCATCATCTATATACAAACAACAGTTGCTAAGGTTAAACTTTCCGCATACACCTCCTTCCACTGCTAATAGATAATCTAAAGCTAATCCATTTTGATAGATGGCTGATCTCATCCTGGTATTTTGCTTAGCTAGAAGATTAAGCGCTTGAGCTGTCTCATTAGTAATAATCTCAACCACTGCCTGTAGTCTAATAATGCGGTTGAGCATATATATCGGAGTTCTATATCCATAAGTGCCATCTTCTGCCCAAGTAGCAGGTCCATAATAATTAATAATATGTTGAGGGGGCCACTCATCTTCCCAACTACTTATATTCAAGGATGCTCTCTTCCTTTTATGATTTACATTGTAAACCTTAACTCTCAAGGTCTCTCCTGTCTCAATTGGCAACAAGAAGAAGGATGGCTTGAGCATACCTAATACACATGCCCCTTCCCAATCTTGTGGTAACTCCGAATAAGCTTTCTTACCACAGATCCAGTATAAATTTGCTGGGGCTTTCCAACTAGATGTAGCAGATAAGTCAAACCATACCTCCTTTAAATGAGTGTAATTGGCAAACGGATTAGTAGGCTCCGAGACATTTGAAGCTGACCACCAAGTAGTATTTTAGTATTAACATTATAGGCTTTTTGTCCCAAGCAAGTTAGCTCACCTACAGACGTGTTATACATTGTCCCTTTCCTGGCTATACAAACATGACCTATAATGGAGGTTTTTAACCGCCATTCCGATTTACTTCTAGTACTTACTTGATGATCAGACTGAAAGGGTATCTGTTGTTCATATGTCTCAGAGCCAGGGTACCATATTTCCTTTGCCTCCCATGGCCACTGGTCTCCCATATTAGTACCTCCACACACATAGCAATTAGTTACATTAAGACTACCTGCAATACCCTGCCACTGTCTCAGTTTCAAGACCTACATATATTATTGTTCCTGGATCTACTCCTGTGCCATATATTTGGAACCCAAACAGACCTCCGAACCTGTCAATAAAGTGCTGCAGATTGGAAATGGTCATGTGAACGGGGTTACACACATAGTTTTACAGTATGGTGTGGTAGGCAACCTTTGGATAATCATATCTTGATCCACTGTTTTTCCCCAGGTTGCCCACCCTACACAAAACCAATAGGGACAAAAATTATAATCTCTATTTGGGCAATCAGGATCAGTAGATCTTTTACTGGGACATAAGTATTTATCATTAAACCAATAAGATTACCACATACATTCCAAAGTTTTCTACTACCAGAAATCGCCTTACATGCATCAAATAGCAGAACACCCGTAGAATGTATGGTATTTATCACAGTTCTATTTATCAAAGTTCCCTGGGAATTACTATTCCTAATTACCAACCAAATTGTACGGGTTTGGAATTGGGGATCGAAACATTTAGACTCTCCTGATATTGGCTTGCACACACTATAATCAATATCCAAATATCTACATTTAGATACAGATCCCTTACATTCATACTGTGCCAGATGAGAGTTTGGGATATTTGGTTACCTGTTTTAGTAGTCTTAATGCAACTATCGCAATTCGGTATGTCTGTACTCCTACCTTCTTGAAAAATCATAAAAATACTAAGACACATAATAAAACACATTATTCCTGAAATCCTCATTTTTCTTCGACCGTGCGATGGCCCCTCAGCTTCCCGATTGTGAGGGCTGCAAGGATGTTGTTCTTCTGATCCTCACTTTCCTTCACAGAGATCCCTTCGAGACACTCTGGCTATGACACGTAGGCAGGTGGTCAGGCTTTATTATGGCCGTCAAAACACCTACTTTGCTGATCTCTATAGTTACTCTAGATGTTCCAATATCTCCTCGTCACTCCGACTGAGTTGCACGCTTCAACCGGATCTTGCAAGGATTCTCAGGATCTGGGATAGCTTGCCAAGAGTCTGATGCTGGTTTAACCCTAGAATGATGAATCCACGGAGTCACCTCTGCCACCTTTACAGCTGTATGGGTAGATAAAAGAACAACATAAGGACCCCTCCACTTTGGACCTAATGGAACAATATTCCATTCTTTTATCCACACTTGATCTCCTGGTTGATAGGAATGAACAGGTGGA